GTCATCTCATCCTCAGCTCCTGTTCCCTTCTTGCCATGACACCCCTACCAGGGCTACTCCCTCCCCCCCCCCCACTGCTTCAGGGCTGAGGCCAAAGGGAGAGCAGGAAGGTGGGGCATGAGTGAAGATGGATAGAGACCCTCCAAGGGGATATGTCTGACGGCCCCCTCCCTCTTCGATTCTGGTTGCCAAGGAGGCAGCAGGAACAGCCTGTTCTTTGGGCTCCCATCGGATCAGCTATGCCCAGGCCCCTCCCTCTCTTCCTTCCTCCATCCCGCCCTCCCAGACTGTTGCTAGGAAGCACCCCAAGATTTCTCAAGGGTCCTACCTTTAGAAACTAGGGGATCCAGATATCTTTCTGAAGAGCTTCCCCCAAAGCCTGGAAGCCAAGACTCCACACAGCCTTCTCCAGCCCTGCCAAGAAGCCCCAGTTTGAGGGAACAGGAGACAAGCCCTCTGTCAGCCTGCCCTCAAGCTAGCTCAGTGGTCTGGGCCTCAGTAATTCCCCTCCCCATCTTGTCTTGACCTCCTGGGCTCTGGGTGATGTCAGCAAGTGATGAGGTGTTCAGCAGTCACCCTTTGTCTCTGCAGACACAGCCTCACTTATTGGGGAGTTCTAGAAAGACTCTGGAAAACAGAGGAAACTGAGGTGCCACTAAGAGAAATTAAAACCCAGGTATTTCTCCCCCTGAGTGATCTTTAATCAAGAAAAAAGATGCTGAAAATAGAGGAAAGAAAGGGGAGGGTGCAGTTTATGGGGAGTTGGGAATCAAGTGTTTGGCAGAGATGAGAGGCTGGGAAATTAGCAAACAATTGCCGTGCCAAGAGGAAAGTCGCCCCTTAATATACCCCCCACATCAATCAGTTTTGTCCCATCAGATGCCCTGGTTGTGGGTCACAAAAAAAGGGAGCCAGGGAAGGGACTCAGGCCTAGCTGAGCCTTGCTTTTGGTAGCTGAGGCAAGAAGTGGAAAAAGAAACTGACACCTTCTCCAGGTTGTCTGCCAGGGTTTCTCTTACTTTTATTCATTTGACACTTTTTTTTTTGAGCATTTAATACATACCAAGTATTGGATCCCCTGAACTTTCCCAGCTTCTGGTTTCACTCCTACATGGAACCCCTTCATCCTGCTTTGCCAGGAGGGCAGAGGGGAGGTTTACCTACCATACTACAGCCTCCCCCTCCAGTTGAAGGAGAGGATGGGACAGGCTGGTGTGGAGGCCAGGAGTACAGAGTGGCTCTCAGGACCCAGAGCGGGGGCAGCTGACCTCCCTCCCTGCCATTGTCCATACCTCAGAGTCACAGTACTGTCTTCGCTTCCATGCTGGAGGGTGTGGCATCTTTCAGGGTGTTAGAGAGGAAACCAGCCTCTCTAGGATTGGTTCAAGTTCTGCCTTTCACTGTCCTGGCTGGTCTCTTTCTGGACCTTTCCTGGGGGCAGCAGGAAGACAGAGACAGAGGTGTGGGGATCCAGGAGCGATCCCTGAGTGGGGAGCCACCTTGTAGCCTTCTTCCCCATCCTCTTCTTCCCCAGAAAGAGAGAAAGGGATTTTGCTGTGGGACTAGTTGGGGGAAGAAACTGGGTTTGGAGCCAGCTGTGTATGAGTATGTGGGAATGACTTTTTTTCTTTCCCCATCCACCTGCTGCCAATTAACTCCCCATGGTGGGGGGGGGCCCAGGCAAGCTTCCAAAGGAAAATATTCCAGTTAGGGGAGGGGAATGACTCAGTTTCCCTACAGAGTGAAGGGAAGAGGAAACCCTTTGTGTCTTGTACGTTTCCCAACTATTTCAGCGTCCCTGGGTCTAGACTCTCGCCACTTTTCCTTATACTTCTTTCCAGCCTAGATAAGGAATGGCTCCATCTTCTTGGGTACCCAAAACCCAGTTCCCCACAGCCTCTTACCCTACCTCAAGTCCCCACCTAGACTTACCTCCTTTTCTGCCACTGTTCCAGAGCTGCCATGTCGCTCTGCCTGGCTGGCTTCTCCCTGCCCCTCTTCTCCAGCCAGGCTCCTTCCCCAGCCAGACCAACCAACACAATGAAGAGCTTGGGCTTGGGGTTCAGAGAGCAGAATTGGGAGCTCAGCCTCTCTCAGTGCTGAGGGAGAAGAAACAGACATCCCAGGAAAGTGGAGACAGTAAGAGGGATGTTTTAGAGGGGTTGTGTTGGGGGAAGGGTTTCCTTCTACACCCAAAGGGGATGTTGGCATCTCTTCTTTCATCCACTGGAAGATTATCATGGAGTCCCGTCCTTGTAGTGGGCAAGCCAGAGAGCTTGTGGGTCCTAGGAAGTGATGCTGATATGGAGAGAAAGATGGTATGGCTGCCTCTGATATCTACAGACCAGGGAGTCAGGACAAAGTAGAGAAATTGGAAATAGCCCTTGCCCAGAACTAAGGGAGTTCCTTTACTCCCTTAGGAGTCCAGTTCTTAGGGAAACCTTGACAAGCCTACAGGGAGGGCTGCTGGTGAGAGGTCGGGGAAAGGGAAGGCAGATGGGCTCACTACAGAAGCCACCTCCCTGCCAATGTAAAGTGGGGAGGAGGCACCCCCACCCCGCCCCGAGATCTGCCAGGTTTCCTGCCAGAGGGGGATGGTTTAAGTTCAGAATACCAATATCTTTAAGGCCCAGATATTCCCCACTCCCATGTAGATTGGATCTAGTACCCATTAAGTCAGGAGCTGTCGGTCACAAAGTTGACAGAGGGCAGTTTGGGCTGTAAGGGGTGGGAAAGGAGCTGCAGGATCCAGGGATGGGTCAAAGTAGGGGGTCCTAACCTGCAGTAACAGGAAAGGGATGAGAGGAAGGAAGCAGGCAATGGTGGAGTGAGGGGCTTGGGAGAAGAAGGGAAGCCAGCTATGTGAGAGATTGCAGGGAAACAGGGTCTGTGGCTGTCTCAAGTGTGTGTGTGTGGGGAGGGGAGGGGGTGTTTGGAGGTTAAGTGTGAGGAGTCTGGGTTCTCCCTCCTTCCTGCTTTGGAAGCTTTGGCTACACATACTTGGCAGCTGTTTTGTATAAACATTATTCCCCAGCAGTGTCACTTGGGCAGGCACTAAAGGGAGCAGAATGGAGGGGATTGTGGGTGGGCGTATTGGGAGGGAGGAAAGCCATAGACCTTAGAGGGGTGTGATCTGGCTCTCCTCCAGCTGCACTCTCTTCTTCAGAACATAAGTTCTTGTCTCCCAATTTAGACTCTGCTCCAGATACCCAGAATCCTGTCATTCTCTGCCCTGAGGGCCTCAGGTTTGATTCCAGAGTCTGAGTGGACTGGTCTTCCAGATATGTCCCTCTGAGGACTGATTTTGCCACTGAAAGGGTGACCAAAGAATGGTTGTTGGGAAATACAGATGGAGCTTGAACTCCTGGTTGGGAATATGAGGCTTCTCATGGTATGGGATGGGGAGCTGGAAATAGGGGTGGCTGGGGGCTTCCATGTTGTTTGGGTTGTAAATGTTAGGGACGACCTGTCCACAAACAGGACAGGGATGAGGGCTGTTTATAGGGAGGCTCAGATGTTGGAGCCAGGTGGGTAGCATTTGCTTTTGGGATTCGCACTGGGGGTGGAAAAAGTCTAATACCCAAAACACTAGGATAAGCAAGACATTCCATTGTTTTTAATAAACTTAAAAAAATAATATTTTTAGATTTATGGGAAAAAATTTGAAGATAGAGTACCTGTACCCCCGCCCAGTTTTCCCTTTTATTAGGAACTTACATTAGTATGGTACATTTGTTACAATTAATGAACCATTATTGATACATTATTAACTAATGTCTGCTGAGTTTTCATCTAATATTCTTCTTCTGTTCCAGGATCACATCCAGGATACCAAGTCACATTTAGTCATCATGTCTCCTTAGGCCCTTTTGACTATGACAGTTTCTCAAACTTTCCTTAGTTTTGATAACCTAAACCTCAGTTTCCTCCTTATTGCTTAATACTGGGAGGACTGCCAGATTTGGGGGTGAAGTAGTGGGTGATGTGTGTGCAAGTGACAGAACCTCAATGTCGCTTCTGGAATACAGGTGTGGAAATGAGAAGAACCCTGGTAGACTTAGGGATTTAGGAGGAGGGAATAAAAAAAGACCAGAAAGAGAAAGCCTATTGCTGAACGAACGCCACACCCTTGGCGTGCCTATTAACTAGCGGATAATGAAAGGATGTCGGGATGTGATTTAAATGCTCGGTGGACAGTGACGTCATTGAACGAAGCCTGATTGCGAGAAGCCTTTCAAGAACTTTTCCCTCTAAGTCCCCTGAGTCTCTGCGATGCTTCAGCTCCTACCTGTCCTCTAAAGGAGAGTAACAATGCAGGCTGACTTGCTTCGTCCCCTAGCTTGCTCGCTCGCGGAGTCCAAGGAACTACAATTCCCAGAAGACATCGTGGCGTGACCGGGCTCTTGCTGCATCCCGATTGGTTAATATTGGTTACTCTCAGCCAATAGAAAATCAGCTCTTTAATAAGTGCCAAAATGGTGATGCCTAGGATCTAGGACTAGGTTGTCCGGTAGGCTTAAATTTGGGGAGGTGGTGGATGAAAAGGAAATAGGAAATTTCAGGGTTGGGGAAGGTAGAGGAAATGCGGGCGAGGGGGGCGGAATCTGGATTTGAGTGGTAGCGGCTGAGGGACGCAGCGAGAGCTAAGGGCAGAGTTAGGGAACCGGAACCAGCTTAACCCCTTGCTGCCCATTTATCTCTGTATTAAAGTCCCTTTGACACCTTAGTGCTCCAGTTTCAAGGATGATTTAGGAGGGAAGAACCTAACAGGATCCCTACTTTGCCCCCTTTCCCTTTTTTTCCCTTTCTAGTTCTGCCTCCCTTAAATCATCCTGTATCTTCTCCATTCCATTTTACTCTATTCGCTGCCCCCTCCCCCCACGCCCCGTTCTTTTCCTCAGAATCTCTTCACCCCTTCTCTAGCTTTTTTTCTCCCGCCTCACAGCTGACCGCCACCGGCCTGGCCTCCTGAGTGAAATCATGAAGGTGGTGAACCTGAAGCAAGCCATTTTGCAAGCTTGGAAGGAGCGATGGAGTGACTACCAATGGGCAATCAACATGAAGAAATTCTTTCCCAAAGGAGCCACCTGGGACATTCTCAACCTAGCAGGTCTCAAGTGAAGTAGGAAGGATGGATGGGAGGGCTAAACCCAGAGAAGCTGTAACCACTGAGTCTTACTTTGTTATTCCCCTTACAGAAGCACTACTGGAGCAGGCCATGATTGGACCTTCCCCCAATCCTCTCATCCTGTCCTACCTGAAGTATGCCATTAGTTCCCAGGTAAACTGTTCCACCTGTTCCAGAGTGAGGGTTTGAAGGTAAAAGACTTGGAGTACAGCTCAGACTTTCTAGGTGAATTTGAACACATCATTTCTCTGAGCCTTAGTCTTCTGATGAAAATAACAGTACTTCATTGGTTATGATTAATATTACATTAACTTATTCTACCAATAAATATTCACAAATGCTTGTATGTGCCAGACAGTGCCATAGGCTCTGGGGATTTACCTGTGAACAAGGCCTGATCCCAGCACACAAGGAATTTAGTCGGTAATGCAGGCATGTAAATAAATAGTCAATTGCAGGATGGGATTATGATATAGGCTAGAACAGAGTACTATGGGAGTACATGGGAGGGGCACCTAATCCAGCATGAGCAACCAGGGAGAAAGTGATGTTTAAACCAAGACGTGAGTGTTGAGTGGGAGCTGTCCAGGCAGATTGATGAGAGTGTACAAAGCAGAGAGAAAAGCACACGCAGAGGCTGGGAGACAAACATCACATGATGTTTAGGAACTGAAAATAGTGTGGTATGGCTGGAGCCATAGTTTTGGTCTTAGCACCTTTTATACCCTTAAAAATTGAGACTCCTACAGAGTTTTTGTTAATATGTATTATATCTTTTCATATCACCATTTTAGAAATTAAAAAAAATTTTTGTACTTAAAAGTAACAAAAAACATACCATTTTATATTAATATAAATGACATTTTAGTGAAAAATAATCATTTTTTTAAAACAACAGAAAATTGGTGAAGATAGTGGCATTGTTTTACATTTTTGCAAATCTCTTTGATGTTTGGCTTGATAGAATACAGCTGAATTCTCCTATCTGCTTCTGCATTCAGTTGTTGCAGGTAGGTAGGCTGTTTCAGCTGATGTATATAAAGAGAATCTGGGGGGAGGGTATAGCTCGGGGGTAGAGTGCATGCCTAGCATGCACATACAAGCAATCCCCAGTACCTCCACCAAAACAAATAAACAAAACCCTAATTACCCGCCCCAAAATAAAAGAGAATCTAGTCTTGCACATCAGATACTTAGTTTGAAAGGGAGGAGTATTTTTAAAGCCTTTCAGATAAATGTGGATATTTTTCTTTGATAATTATGCTAAGATTCAGCAGATGTTGTAAAAATCACATCAGTGAATTTTTAATACTGTTACATTAAAATCCATTGATTTCTCTCTTGCAGTTTGAATGGATCTTTTACCCCTGCATGATTTTATAATATGAATCGGTCATTTGGAAAATATCCATTACTTATTTATACAGATATTCCAATTGTTGACATATTTAGTTATATAATGTCATATGTCATGGAGCCTCTGGGACTTTCTGTTGTACACTTGGAAGAAAGTAAGAGTGAAAAAGGCAAATACCATCTTGTAGTACTTTAAAAATAGTTTTGACTCATAGATCCCCCAGGGGCCCCTGGACCATCTTTTGATAACTGCTGGGCCAGTACTTCAAGGAGGAGATTGGTTTAGAGAGAGAGAGAGAGATTAGGTCATAAATGACCTGTTGCTGTTGCTAAGGAGTGTGGACTTTATCCTGGGGTAATGAGTAATCATTTAAAGGGCTTTAAGTGGAGGAGTAGTGTGATAGGATTTATATGTATTTAACATGGCAATAAAATGCATAGATCTTAAGATTAATTCATTGAGTTTTAGTAATTGTCTATACCCACAGCATTGACATCCAAAATAAGATACAGAACATTTTCGTTCTCCCAGAAGGTTCCCTTGTACCCTCTTCTAGTACATCTTCCTATAACTGCTAAATGTTTCTATCTGCACCATAGATTAACATTGTCTATATTTGAATTTCATAGAAATGGACTCAATAGTATAAACACTTAATGCTCTGTTTTCTTTCGTTTAACAGAAATGTTGTTGAGCTCTTTGTTGTATATGTCAGTAGTTCATTCTTTTAAAAATATTTTTTACTTATTTTTTTTTATTGAGGTATAGTCAATTTACAGTGTTGTGTTAGTCTCTGGTGTTCAGCATGGTGATTCAGAAAAATCACCGCTTCACGAATTTGTATGTCATCCTTGCTCAGGGGCCATGCTAATCTTCTCTGTATCATTCCAGTTTTAGTATATGTGCTGCCGAAGCGTGCACTCCTTTTTTTAAATTGCCAAGTAGTATTCCTCAGCTGGCATGTAGTTCTTATGCCTTTTTTTCCCTCTTGGCCTCGTGTCTGCTTTCCATGTTAGAATAAGCTCATCTTCCTTATTCTTTTTTTATTTTTTAATTTAAATTTTTTTTCTTTTTTGGTGGGGAGAGGAAATTAGGTTTGTTTTATTTATTTATTAACAGAGGTGCTGGGGATTTAATCCAGGACCTTGTGCATGCTAAGCATGTGCTCTACCACTGAGCTATACCCTTATCACTCTTGCTCTTTTTAACTGCTGTATAATGTTCCATTTGTTCAGTAATTTAGGTTGTTTTGCATTTTTTACTGTTAATCATCAATGATTCACTGAACATCCTTATACTTACCTCTCTGCATATCTCGGACTATTTCCCTAGGATAGATAGCTAGAAATTGCTGGTTTGAAGAGTACACACATGTTAAATCATAGTGGATCCTGCAAGTTGCCCTTAAAAAAGGATTGTATCACTTTACACCCACTCCATAGTCCTTGCCAGTATTTCCCCACACCTTTGCCAGTGTTGGATAGAATCTTTTAAGATTTTTTTCCTAGAGAGGCAAAAAAGTACATCATGTTATAAGAGGTATTTCCACGATTGTGATGTTGAGCATATTTTTTCATGTTTATTGGCTCTCTGTATATATTCTGTGAATTACTTATGTGTATCATCTGCCCATTTTTTCTAACATTAGTTTATTTTCTTTATTTTTTTTTTTAGTAACAGCTTTCTTGAGACATAAATCACATAACATACAGTTTACCCACTTAAAGTGTGTGAGTCACTGGTTTTTAGTATATTTAGACTTGTGTAACCATCACCACAATCAATTTAGAACATTTTCATCACCCTAAGAAGAATCTTACAATTTTTAAGTGTCTTTTAATATAGTCTATCTTGTAACTATTATCTGTTATTTATGTTTTAAATTTTTTTCTATCACTGTTTTAACTTTGTGGTTTAATTTTCTTAGTATGCAGAATATTTTTAATGTATTTGTTGTCAGATTTAACCTTTTTTTTTTTTCCTGTATGGCTTTTGTCTTGCATAAGGGCTTCCCTGCTCCAGGATCAAAATATATTCTTTAATTTCTGCCAACACTTCACTTTGTTTAATCCATTTAGAATTTTCTGGTGTAAGGAAAGGATCCAAATTTATTTATTTTTCTGAAAAGATGGACAATGGCTTTATTGAATAGGCCATTTAATGGTCATATCTTACATTCTCTTACAGACAATGGTCTATTTCTTGACAATCTAGTATTTCATTGACATATTTATCTTTTTTGTGCCGGTACTTTACCCTTTTCATGACTCTATCTCTATAGTATGTTTGATATCTTGTTACACAAGTCTTCCCTTAGTTGTTTTATTTTTCAAAAATTTCTTGGCTGTTTTCAGGCATTTTCTTTTCCAGACAGATTTTAGAATCAACTGAAGTTCCTTAAAATATCCTGTTGCATTTTGATTGGGGTTTCCTTGACTTTGGGGATTTGAGGAATTTGTGGTTTGATTTTAGAAGGATCACTCTGGTTGTAGTTTGAAGAATGAGTGGGAGGGAGGTAAGGCAGAAGGCAGGGAGACAGTTTAGTCTAGGATATTTTTTCTGTAAAGGACCAGATAGTAAATACTTTCAGCTTAGCAGGCTGTATGTTCTCAGTCACCACCATTCTGTCATTTTAACTCACAAGCACATATAGGCAATAAAGCACATATAGGCAATATGTGAATAAACCGACATGGCTGTGTCCTGATACAACTTTATTTACAATAAAGGTAACGAGGCGGGGTGAGTATAGCTTAGCGGTGGAACACATGCTTAACGTGCACAAGGTCCTGGGTTCAATCCCCAGTACCTCCATTAAAAAAAAGAAGTGTAGGGGGAAGTAAAAAAAGGCAATGAGGCAGATTTAATTTTTTAGCTGTAGTTTTCCAAGCCCTGATTTCAGTCTGTTACAGTGATTCAGGTAAGAGATGATACTAGCAGAAACTTGAGAAGTGGCAGCAGGAAAAAAAAGACGAGTCCAAGAACAATTTAGGAAGTGGCATTGAGAGGATTTGGTGGTTAACTGGAGGAGGGGTGTGAGGGAGAGGAAGAAATCAAGGCTGAAGCCTGGGTTTCTGGTTTGGACCCCTGGAGGGCTGATGGGATGGGAAGGAGACAGTGGGATTGGAGCAGGACTGCTGTTAGGGTTGGAGTGCAGATGAGGGGTGGTGTTTGCTTCTGGCCTTGATTCACTGAAGGTACCTGGGGGACCGACAAAGAGAAGACCCTCAGTAGCCAGTTGAACGCATAATATGTCTGGAACTCAGAAGGAGAGAGGAGACTGGAGCTAGGGTTTAGGAGCTGTCAGCCACAGATGGTATTTGAAGCTCCGGGCATGGAGGAGATTGCCCAGAGAGAGTGTGGCACGGGAGCCAAGAGGTGACCCAAGCCGTATTTCTGAGGAACCAGTCACACTTGGGGAACACCCAGAGGAAAAGAATTCCTCAGAGGAGTCTGAAGAGAAGGGGCTGGTGAGGAGAGAAGGAAACCAAGAGAGTGTGATCCCAAGGAAAGCCCAGGGAGGAGAGGACTTGAAGGATGAGGAGCTGTTTCCTGCTGTTAGATGCCGCTGAGAGGGCAGTGAGATGAGAACCGAGGAGTAGCCATGGGGTTTAACAACTTTGTTGATGAGCCTAATGAGAGATTTTCGCTGTGGTGAGGACAGAAGTGACTGGAGTGGGTCGTGTTGCGAATGGAAGGCCAGGAGGTAGAGACAGTGGGTGTTGAGCACTTATGTCTGTGGTGAGAGCGTGGTGGTTAATTGGAAATAGAGAGTCTGCGGGGGGTTCTTTTAAAAATAGAAGACGCTTGAGGAGGGAAAGGGTAGCTCAAGTGGTAGAGCGCATGCTTAGCATGAGCGAGGTCCTGAGTTCAATCCCCAGTGCCTCCATTAAAAAAAAAAGATAAATAAAAAAGATAAACCTAATTACCCCCCAACTTGTTTTAAAAATAGAAGAACTTTGAGATGTGTAAATTGATGAGGAAGGCAAGAGGGAGGAAGAGCCTGAAGTACCAGTGAGAGAAAGAAAAATAGGAAAGACCTTCGTGACTTGCAAAATGCTATGCAAGATTAGTAATTTATTCTTCCGTCAGAGTCAAGAGGCTCTTTGGTCCAGTGCTGTGCACGTAGAAGGCACTTAGCAGGAGTTGAGGGCGTTGAATGTGAGAGAGGGGATTAGAAGGCAGCTGCAAGGTCACTCTGGGCTGGCCAGGTGTGCACCAGGCCGCTTAGACCGTCTCCAGCCTCGGGGGCTGATGGTGGCTTAGAGCTTCTATGTTGATGGATATATTAGGACTGGGATAGGTTAAATCCTGCTGTGAAAAGCAGTTCACCATGTGGAAAGTATTTTTAGGTCTCCAGAGTAGCAGGGCTTTATTGATACCATTAGCAAAGACGGGCTGAGCATAATTCTGACTTTGGAGCCCGTAAATTCACAGTAACTCCCGGCATCTCTCAGAACCTACAGAACTGGGTGTTTTTCTTCTGATAGTTTGGGGTGAGTTTCTAGTGGGGACATCCAGCTCCCTCTTCAGGTTGGTATCCAACAGGGCTCAGTTCGCTGCCAAACTCTTGCTATGGGGACATGGGTTATAAATAAACAAACACTCGCCTGGAACGTTATGGTCATCCTGCCCAGGCAGGCTCCCAACTTTCTGATCACTGTCAGACACCAGCTATGGCTTCACAGTATGCCCCGCTGAGAGTGGCACTAAACGCTAACGGTGTATTTAAGTCCTCTGTGTGTTTTGCTCCTCTTTATCCAAGTCCAGTTAAAAATGTCTGAACAGAGAGCTGTCTGTTCATGTATTGGAGAAACTACATGGAAGGCATTGCTATGCATGTAAAATTCACCGTACTGAGTCACTGAGGGTGACTTAGCTTTCTTCTTACATCTTTGGAAATTTCTATTCCTCTAGTGAAGACAACCTATGAAGCAGGTGATTATCCTGATGGTTTTTATCATTATATTCTGCTTTTTATTTTGATACATTTTGCCACACACCTGTAACTATGTTCTGTGGTATTCACATTTGATCAGCATGCTATAATTTTTTTTTAAAATATGGCAACTTAAAAGCTCTCTGGAGGGTTTGATTTCATTCACGACTAATTATTTCTTTTGAACCACATCTCCAATCTTAGTGATGAATAAGTTTTACTCATAGAAATTTGCTTTAAGGTAAAAGTTTTTCAGGATGCTAGTTACTAGAATTCATCAATCTAAAGCAATAAAAACTTACTGAGGACCTACTGTGTGGTCAGCCTGGGGCTAGGTTCTAGGGAAACATAAACTTAACACTATTTCTGTTCTCAGGGAGCTCACTGTTCAGATAGCATTTCCTGAAATGTCTTTTGCAAATACTGCTTAAGTGAAATTCCTTGGCCAGATAATTTGGAAAAGTATTGTTTGCTTCATTGCCAGTTATCCTAGAGATTCTCATTGTATACAAAAATATTATTATGGTTTAGGGAAGTCCTACAGTAAGGAAAGCTCTTTACTAAAAGAACCCTTTAAAGAAAGCTCTTTGTATATGTTTATTTCAGGGTCTCTCAAATTCGTATTACCCAGAAGCTCTGTATATGTGTGTGCATGTGTAAAATTTCTTAACGTCTTGAGGAATCTTTGGAACAACATCACCCAATAGAACTTTCTACGATGATAGAAATGTTCTGTTATCTGCACTGTCCAGTACAGTAGCCACTAGCCACATGTGGGTGTTGAGCACCTGAGATGTGGCTAGTTCGACTAAGGAACTGAATTTTTTATTTCATTTAACTTCAGTTTAAACAGCCAGATGTGGCCAGTGTCACCCCCTCTTGGACAGCACAGCTTTGGAAGCTACTTTGGGAAATGTTGGTCTAAGGGTGCGTTTTTACTTATCCATTCTCCAGACGTTATTAACAGGTTCATGGTGGTCACTGAGTGAAAGCATCCTTGTCCTCAAGGAGCTCCTAGTTTGGTGGGGCAGCAGGTACCCACGGTGCAATGATAGGTCTAAGGCATTTACTTGGAGCATCAAGAAAGGATTTCAGCTTTGGGTGGTGCCCTGGAGGAGTCTTAGAGAATGAGTATGTGTGATGAAATTCACTACCTATTACAAGTGTAGTTACTACATGTTCATTGCAGGGAAAGTTTGTATATCTCCAGTTCTTGTCCAAATACAATCACTCTTGATAGGAGTTTTAGGAGTAGAGTAAGAGGATCTCACCCTGGTCCATTCTTCTGCCCACCAGCAGTCTAACCTTGTTATGTCTGGTGGCATGTGATCATGAAACTTGGCCCCTTTGGATACCCCCAGATATCTTCTCAGTGGGTTTGTGCCGATGCCTTCAATCATAGGGAGTGTGATTGAAGCAGGAATGGGCACAATGCCTGATGTTACTGCCTCTCTTCAGGGGTTGAGGATGGCCTCTCGAAGGGGTGAGATTTTAGGAGAGTTGCAGCCACTTTAAGTGTCAGTGTTTGTGCCTCTCAACTGTGGCACACTAGTTGTCTGAATTTTATCTTTCTTCTTTCTTTCCAGATGGTGTCCTACTCCTCTGTCCTCACAGCTATCAGTAAGGTATGACCACAGCCACACATGAGCTCAGTGGGGGGGCGGGGGTTCAGAGGAATGGTAGCAACAGCGGGGCCCCACCTCCCTGACTGCTCTGACCACGTGACCTCTGAGGCTGGGCAGGCAGCACAGCCTGTCTCTGGCTGGCATGGCTGCCTTCCTTGGGAAGGAGGGGGATCCTGGGAAGTGAAGGCTGGCCATTGGGAGCCAATTGCCAATGTTGAAAGGATGCTGAGCCTGAAACCTGAGGTCGGAGTAGAGATGAATAGGAATCCCGAATGTGCCAGGTGCCGCAAGCGTGAGACTGGGGAGTGACTAGGACGTTCCATAGCATCACCACTGTTCTTTCCACAGTTTGATGACTTTTCCCGGGACCTGTGTGTCCAGGCTTTGCTGGACATCATGGACATGTTTTGTGACCGACTGAGGTAATGGCAGGAGTGAGGGGCTCACAACCTTCCAGCACTATCTTAGCGTAGAGGAGAAGCTCCTGGCACAGAGACTCAGACCAGCTCTGCGGGCTCCCACACTTCTGCCCACCTGCTCATCCGCACCCACCCACCCCCATTCTTTTCTCCTTATTCCCTTAGGACTAAAATGCCTCTTCTCTGTCTGGAGTAGCTCATTTGAAATCTTATCCAAAGGGAGCCGACAGGGCCATCTTCCCCAGGCCTTTGCTAGCTTCCCAACTCTCTTCCCTAGTAGGGGAGTGCCAGGCCCTCTGGGGAACGTTGGTGTGGGTCAAATTTCAGCCTTTGGAGTAGAGTCAGATTTTGCATCCTTCCCTGGTAGCTGTCACGGCAAAGCGGAGGAGTGTATCGGGCTCTGCCGGGCCCTCCTCAGCGCCCTCCACTGGCTGCTGCGCTGCACCGCAGCCTCTGCCGAGCAGCTCCGAGTCGGGCTGGAGGCCGGCACTCCAGCCGCCGCCGAGAAGCAGCTTGCCATGTGCCTGCAGCGCCTGGAGAAGACCCTCAGCAGTACCAAGAACCGGGCTCTGCTTCACATCGCCAAACTAGAGGAGGCCTGTATGTCCCCTGGTTCCCTGAGCCCCACCTGCCACTGCGCCCGTAGCTGGTTCTTTAATTGAGAGGGGAGAGGCAGGATGCCATCCCACTTCTTTCCAGGAGGATCTGAAATCATCCCACTTCCTTTTTTTTCTCCCCATAAGCATTGCATACATCCCAGGGACTTGGGCAGGGTGGCACCCGAGCCAATCAACCAACAGGTATTTACTGAGCATTGTTGTATGCCCAGCACTGTGCCAGGTGCTGGGGGTGGGGGGCGGGGGGCTACCGAAGGAGCATGTGGCAGGTCCCTACCGTCCACAAGCAGACACGCTAGTGGGGAGCAAGACTAGTACGTAATAGACACGGAAAAAAACGGGAGGACAAGACAAGCACACCATCCATTCTTGTGTTGGTCTCCATGTGACTCATCTTTTGAAAGCAAATGACTCTAGTGTTTGAGTGTGGCCTAAAACATCCCTCTAAACGTGGGCCTGTGGCGCCGTACACCTCTTATCTCAAGTGCAGGTGTTAAATTTCGGACCCCTCCAGATCCCAGGATCAGACAGACCACCTGGTGGGAGGGAAGACTGGCAGTTCTGGACATGGGACCTGAAGGCCACAGTCTTGCTGATGAGGCTTGGGACCACCTAAGGATCTCTTGTTCTCCAGTAACAAGAATACTGGAGTGGGTTCCACCTGGGTTTTCAGGACCTGGCTGGAGAACTTGATATAGGATTAGTATGTTTATTACTTCTCAGAATAGGGTTTATGGCCTGTGAAAAAGCCAGAAAGATGATCACTATGTAAAAATGGGCTGTACGTATCTTGAGCCCTTGACAAGTATTTGTTGGCTGAAAAGCGAGTGAATATTGAACTTAATTTTATCGGATCTCAGGTCTTCTTGTTTTTTTTTCCCTACGCTACATGGAGGTTAATGGGCTAGGTGGTGGCATTATTAATCATCTGACCCTCTGGAAGTGTAATCAAGATAAGTTACTTATAATTAAGGGCCAAATTGTGCGGTGTAGACCGCGAGTATAGGCGTTGAGGAGTCAGAGAGCAGTGGGTGGGTAAGTTGTTGAAGGAGCTGGGGCTTGAACAGAGACTTGAGGGCTAGTGAGAGAGTGAGGATGAGGTGAGTAGGAGGGGCATTTCAGAAGAGGGAGCAGCGAGAGCAAAGTGACATGGAGCAGGCGACATGGAAGGCTGTTTAGGACTCCAGCTTGACTGGGCTGGAGAGCGGTGGCCACTTGCAAGGCTGGCCCATTCTTGAAATGATTTGTGGCCACCCCTCTGTTCCACTGGACTCCACACCCCCTCTTCCTCCCTCTGTCCCTGCCTGTGTTATGCTGGACCTAGTCTCTAAGTCAGCTGCGTGCAACTCCTAGAGGTCCATCCTCTGGGAATAGCTTCTAGGGGCTCCATCAATGGTGTGCACCCTTCTTCTGGAAACAGTGCATGCTGCCCTCAGGCCCCCAGCCTTCATGCCATCCTCAGGGGAAGTCTCCCTGCGTGGTTTTGTGGGCCCAGGGGGTGCGAAAGTCGAGGAGTTGGGGCCACTGTCTTCCACGCCTCTGTTTCCCATCATTTTCTGCATTTCCTTTTCTCTGCCAGCTTCCTGGACTGCCATTGAGCATTGCCTCTTGAAGCTTGGGGATATCCTGGCTGGTCTCAGCAGCCCCCAGCTCCGGAGCCAGGCCGAGCAGTGTGGCACACTTATCAGGAGGTATCTACTCCCAGGGCGATCATGGTGAAGGGACTGGGGAGGTGTGGCCCTGGCCCCGGCCCCTCTGCTGTCACCTCCTCTCTGACTCTTCCGGCTCCCCACATACTGTCCCCTGTGGCTGTTTTCCCTCAGCATCCCCACCATGCTGTCCGTGCACTCGGAGCAGCTGCACAAGACTGGCTTCCCCACCGTCCATGCAGTGGTCCTGCTCGAGGGCACCATGAACCTGACAGGCGAGACACAGCCACTGGTGGAACAGCTGATGATGGTGAAACGCATGCAGGTGGGAGGCCAGCTCTGCTTCTCTGTCCCCAAGACAGGCTGGCCATGCGGAGGGCAGGAGGGAGGATTTTTCTAGTCTTTTGTGGGAGAGATAGGGTTTCTCTTGCTTCCTGGTGGAGCATGGATCCCAGTCCTGCGCGGTTCTGTCTGATGAAATGCCATGTCACCTGCCGTCCCTGGTTCTCACATGGGAGTGGGGGAGGTGCCTGTGCTGTGTGGCCTCTGACCCCCCGATCCTCAGGGGCCCAGAGGCAGGAGGGGCACGGCGCCCTCTCAGGCCTCACCCATGGCTCTCCCTGCAGCATATCCCTACCCCACTTTTTGTCCTGGAGATCTGGAAAGCTTGCTTCGTGGGTCTTATTGAGTCTCCTGAGGGTACTGGAGAGCTCAAGTGGACAGCTTTCACCTTCCTCAAGGTACCTGGGATGGGGGAGCTGTGGAGAGCCCGTCTGGGGATGGTTCTTAGGAAGAGCAGAGACACCCTGGACCTTTGCCCCACGTTTCTCCCTGCTGGCCTTGTGCCCAGCTTGCCAGGTCCCCCAGCACAAGTTCCCCTCTGTGATTTTCTCTCAAAGTCCCAGGGCTGTATTCAGCCCACTTGGCAGGCTTCCGCCATGTCTTGGCATCAGCCAGCGTGGCGCAGGGCAGCTGTGGGAGCCCACTTTGGCTTATGGCATTTCCTCGTCAGGCCATGAAAGTGAGGGGTTCCTGTGCCCCTCAGGCTGAGGGCACCAGGCACTTGGCTAGCCGTCAGCTTTCTGATTTGGCTCTAAGAGTGTCTTTACTTCCGGGGCAGGAGTGTTCCTGTCTCTGTGCAGAGCAGCGGGCTGGAGGGGATGCCTTTAGTTCTGGGTGAAGGAGAGAAGAAATTGAGCTTCCTATCCCCCACCACCCTGCCTCACCCTCTAGATTCCACAGGTTTTGGTGAAGTTGAAGAAATACTCTCATGGGGACAAGGTGAGTGAAAGAAATGAGATGGGGGGAGGACATGGAAACAGGTGAATCCTTGTTTCTGCCCCAAAGGAACAAGGGCACAGGGAGGGTTTCTTGGCCCTTGCTGGGCACTGGTGCATTCTTGTGCTGGAGTCAGCCTGGGAGCACGTGTGTACCTCTGCGCACGTGCATGCAGTCTTCTGACAAGGCAGCCAGGCTGCTTGGAGACGAGGGTGCCTGAGATGACCAGGCCGGGGTGGACACAGGGAGCAGTCGTGCCCTGTACTCTTCCCGTCCAGTTGCTGGAAGCCAGCGGGGCACGGCCGACTTGTAGGCTGTTGAACCCAGCAGGGCATCCTCATGAACCTGCATCGCAGGCTGTGCATGGAGCAGAGGACCTGGAAGCCAGATGGCAGTTTCTGGCTCTTTGCAGGACTTTACTGAGGATGTCAATTCTGCTTTTGAGTTCCTGCTGAAGCTCACCCCCTTGCTGGACAAGGCTGACCAGCGCTGCAAGTATGAAGTCCCCTGTTCACCCTCACTCTACTGGAAGGTGTTCTGGGCTCTTCCCCTGCTCTTTGTGCCAGAGAAGCCCCAGGAGACTGTCTCCTTGTTCACTCCCCTTGGCAGGGGCAGGAGGCAGCAGCCCCGTGGTTGTGAGTGCCCGGTCCTCTCTGCCTTCCCTCGGGCACTCAGAAAGTTCTTCATCCTCAAGGAAGGAAGATGCAAGACAGGCTCATTGCTCCCTCTTCAATAATCCCTGCTGTATGCCCAAGCCTCCCATCCTCTTTTTCCCTCACAGCTGTGACTGTACAAGCTTCCTGCTCCAGGAATGTAGCAAGCAGGGGCTTCTGTCTGAAGCCAGTATGAACAACCTAATGGCCAAGCGGTAAGTGTGAGTTCCTCGAGCTGGCCCACGGGCCCTTTGACCACCGCGCCTCAGGTCCAGACCGGGCTGCTGGGTGCTATCTCCCCTCCAGTCTAGAGTTCAGATTGCAGGTGAGAGGGGCCATGCCTAGAGTTACCAGGGACAGGAGATTTCTGCAGAGCAGGTCTTGCACTCTTAGGTGCTACACTTTAGGTCTCACCCTCCTTTGTGATCAAAGCAGAAATCCTAAAACTTCCTTTCATCTTCAGTGAACTTTCAAAATAGATGTAAAGACCAGTGACAAATTGAAGCAATTGCGATGTTGGATCTGCTTTCGTAAACCTCGCCCGACCCCAGTGGCGCTTCCCAGCCTTCTCCGGGCCGCTGCTTCAGGGACTGGACTGGGAAGCGTGTCAGGAATTGATCTGTGTTCCTCTTCCCTTCTCTTGACTGACTGGTTCCGGCCACAGCAAAGCAGACCGGGAGCATGCACCGCAGCTGAAATCAGATGAAAATGCCAACATCCAGCCCAACCCTGGGCTGATCCTCCGTGCGGAGCCCACAGTCACCAACATCCTCAAAGTGAGTGTGCGTTTCCCCTCCCACCAGGGTCATCTCTTCCCTCTTTCCAGCTTCCCCTCTACTTCCAGATAAATAAACAGAGGCCACAGAGCTCTCTTCTGGCTTGTACACATGGTTACTTTGGAGGTAGACTAAACGGGGAGAGGAGGGAAGCACCACTGGAAACGAGTATCTGTTGAACGTCGCTGGTGAGGCAGGCGCTGTGCTGGGTGCTGCACTTGCTCGTGCAGAAATAATGCTGAACCTCACAGCAGAGACTTGCACACCCCGACCCCACCACCATCGTCCCAGTTAGGTTGAGAGGGATGAATCGGAGAGCAAGGAATTTTAGGAATGGATTTCCAGATGGGAGTCAGAAAGACAGAGATTAAATTGCAGGTTGTGATATCCCGTTTACTGGAGACATGTGGAGAGGAACTGGGGCTCGGTGGTATCTATGTGTTCAAGTCTTCAGTATTCTTCAAGACTTGGTTTCCTGTCTTGTCCCCAGACAATGGACGCAGACCACTCTAAGTCCCCGGAGGGGCTGCTGGGGGTCCTGGGCCACATGCTGTCTGGGAAGAGCCTGGACTTGTTGCTGGCTGCGGCTGCCGCCACTGGGAAGCTTAAGTCCTTCGCCCGGAAATTCATCAAGTAAGGAAGGCTGAGCCCGTGCCCAGGGTCTGGGAGGCAGGTCTGAAGGAGGAGGTAGCAGAATAAGAGCGAGGAACTGGGGGCTGGGTCTCCTCAGAGATGCCAAGGCAGAGCATCCCAACTGGAGACTCGGGGGAAGGGCCGGTTCTCTGGACATGAAAAGTGCTCTTTTGTCTTCAGCTGGGGATGAAGTGGAGGTGTTTGGTGAGGTGATGAGGTGTTGAACAGTTGGCATGGAGGGATTGCGTGCAGACCCACTTACTAGTAAGGGGCTCTCAAATTCTGACTTTTTCCATTGACTTGGAATTTCATGTATAGAATGTTGTTCCGCTCAGCGAGCCACTCTCTACGCTTTGGAAATCTTTTAAAAATAGAAAGGGTTCTCATTTCTGTAGCAATGGTGTTCCCTTTAAGTTGAACCCATAGTTCAGACTCCAGTGACTGCCCTCTGACTGGGCGGGGCCCCCGACCACAGCCATCGCTCAGTGCTGGCCTTGGTTGATGCGACCCATCTCCATTCCTTCCGCAGTTTGAACGAATTCACAACACACGGCAGTGAAGAAAGCAGTAAGTCAGCTCTGCATACCCGCAGACCCAGTGGCGCTGAAGGTGGGGTGCAGAGGGTGAGGACAGGGAGGGAAGAGGATGCCTTTGCTCATCCTGGGGAGGCTGTTTTCTCCCCTGAGTGATGACCATCCGAAGCTTCTGGGGAGGTTTGAAAGAGGGTCATGCGGGAAAAGGATTCTTCCCAAACCACTATTTGTCTCTCCTTCCCCTGTTATGATTTGGTCAGGTGTTGAGGGGGAAGGAAGGTATCAGGAGTCTTTGATTCCAAGGAAGGGATGATGTTCAAAATGAGACTCAAGAAAAGGATTCTGAGCCTCAGAGCTCTGAAGGAGCCACTCGGTCCCTGACCTTCCTTGAGGCAGATCCTGATCCCCTCCCGACTCAGACGAGGCCTTTGGGCCCCTGCCCCAGGCTGTGAGGTCAGCCTTCTCCTCCTTCACAGCCAAGGCGGCCTCAGTTCGAGCCTTGCTCTTTGACATCTCCTTCCTCATGCTGTGCCACGTGGCCCAGACCTATGGCTCAGAGGTGAGTAGCGGGGAGCAGTCAGGATTGGGGGGCACCAAGAGAAGGGGCAAAGGGGAAAGAAGCAACCAATAACTCTCCCCACCTCACACCCCTAACCCGCCCCTGCCCCCGCCAGTCTCCCAAGCCTGGTCTCCTGGCTGCCCAAATCAGGTGCCCACCCAGGCCCAGTCAATAGTCACCCCCTTGTCATGACCTGAATCCCTCAGTGCCACACTCACACCCACCACTAGGTGGCAGCATAGCCACTGTCTTTCTCCCTTTGATCAATTTGTCGCCAGTTCTTTAGGCTGGAAGAGGGAAGCAGCTAGGCAGGACATTGAGGTGTAGGGTGCTGCACATCCCCCTCCCCAACCTTCCTTTCCCAGGTCATCCTGTCTGAGTCGAGCACAGGAACAGAGGTGTTCTTCTTTGAGACGTGGATGCAGACGTGCATGCCCGAGGAGGGCAAAATCCTGAACCCTGACCACCCCTGCTTCCGGCCCGACTCCACCAAAGTGGAGTCCCTGGTGGCTCTGCTCAACAACTCCTCGGAGATGAAGCTGGTGTCAGTGGCCTGGGTGCCCACTCCAAGGGGGGCAGTGGGGGCAGGGCCCAGACCCTCTCCCTCAGCCCATCCCACGCTCCCCTATGGTGATTTTTCTCCCGCCCTACTCCCTCGCAGGCAAATGAAGTGGCACGAAGCCTGTCTCAGCATTTCAGCGGCCATCCTGGAAATCCTGAACGCCTGGGAGAATGGGGTGCTGGCCTTCGAGTCCATCCAGGTAGCCCTGCCCAAAACACAGAGCCAATCTTTGATAGCTTGTTAGAATTCATAAGAGCAAGAAGACCCTTAATCCGGGAGTCCATGTGTGGACATTGACCTTCCTTGTAAGCATAATCTTAGCTGCTCCTTCCCACCCAGGTAACTTTGGGAAAATCAACTTGTGGTGAAAAGAGCTGTGGATTGTGGCCCAGGACTCCACTGCCGTGCGGAGGCCGGGGACAGTGAGGGCCAGGAAGGGGAGATCACGACCCCAGTCACCCTCTTTCCCTCTCCCAGAAAATCACCGATAATATCAAGGGGAAGGTTTGCAGTCTGGCAGTGTGTGCCGTGGCTTGGCTGGTGGCCCACGTGCGGATGCTGGGGCTGGATGAGCGTGAGAAGTCGCTGCAGATGATCCGCCAGCTGGCAGGGCCGCTGTACAGCGAGAACACCCTGCAGTTCTACAATGAGAGGTCAGTGACCCGTCCCCTCCTTCTGGAGCTCTGCAGATCTGGCGTGAGACGTCAGGCCCTCCAGTCACCACTGAGCCCCTCTTCTCTCACCTTCTGAGACACCATGCTCGCCTGCTCACTCTTCCTCACTCACTCGTGTTCTTAATCACACATTCACTCGCTGACTCAGCAGCATTTAGTGTGTGTCTCTGTGTTTATAATCCAGCACTTGCTGTGTGTGTCCCAGCACTGCAGACCCCAAACAGCTCTGATTCCAGCCCTCAAAGAGCTCAAGTTGTGGAGAAATAGCTTGCCAGGATACAGTAATTATCTTAGTTATACTGCTGTCCAGGAACTGTGAGCCCATCCATAGATTTTACAGGCTTTGGGCCTGTCCACCCCCTCCCTTCCCCACCCCCTGCCTGGCTATCTTCTGTGACATTTTCCTGCCTTGGCTTTTTAGAGGCTTGGCGGACCTCTCTAGTGACTTCAGCTCTGTTGAGTTGAGTGTGATGGTGGTTCTTTACCCATCCAATAAACCTTTTAAAAAAAATTGTGGTAAAAAAATACATAGCGTGAAATTTACCATCTTAACCATTCTTAAGTGTATAGTTTATCAATGTAGGTATATTCACGTTGTCAAGAAACAGTTTTCCAGAACTTTTTCATCTTGTAAATCTGAAACTGGACCCATAAAGCAACTCCCTGTCCTGTCCTCCCCCCAACCCCTGGCAACCACCATTCTACTTTCTGTTTCTATGAATTTGGCTACTTTAGAGACCCCATGTAAGTGGAGTCACATAGTATTTGTCTTTTTGTGACTGGCATATCTCACTTTGCATAATGTCCCCAATATTCGACCATGTCATTGCATGTGTCAGAATTTCCTTCCTTTTTAAGGCTGAATGATATTCCATGGTATGTATATTCTGCATTTGGCTTATCCGTTCATCAGTTGATGGACGTGTGGGCTTCTTCCTCTTCTTGGCTGTTGTGAACCATGCTGCTCTGAGTACGGGCGCGCACTAAGCCGTAAGTTACAAGTGATGGCCCTTACTGGATGGGTAAAGGACGGGTGGAGGGGGACGTGGAAGCACTGAGCTGAGATGAGGTTGGGAGTGTGTAAAATCACATCTCCTGCTTTTCCCTCTCCTCCTCCTTTATTCCTTCCGCCCTCATCATCCTCCCCACGCCAAGTCGTGGAGTGTTTTCTCTGACCTAATCCATTCTAAGAGCCCCGACTTCTATCTGGGAAATCTGTGGCTCCATCATGCAGGTGGAAAAAGTGACCCTGAAAGTCAAAGTGACTTTACCAGAGCCACCCCGGGTCCTCCGAAAGGTTAGCGCTCAGGCCCAGGTCTGTATTCATAGTTGAAGGCTCTTCATGAGAAAATTCCTGGATGTACACTTGTTTTTGCCCAGCTACGAAGGGCCGGGAAGAGTCCTGTGGGGCAGCCCTCGGGCCCTGTCCTGGAAGTAACAGTTTACTTTGGGAGGAGGCCAAGGCTGGGTAGGGAACCCCCCCAAGCACTCAGCCCAGACGGAAGTGATTATATTTATTTATGCCAGAGGATTGGCAGGGCCCAGGTCTGGGGGCTGGGGGAAGTCGAGTGAAAAACATGAATATGTTGCGGGAACGACCGAGGAGGCAAGTCCCCCCACCCCCACAGCCCAGGCCGGGTGCTGGGAGCCAGGCTGGTGGGGTCAGGTCCCCTGGGGGTTTGCAGCTTCCTTTTGTCTCCTCCCTCAGCGTAGAATGGGGTTCATTACCCTGGAACATTTCTGTAACCCAAGTCCTGGGAAGAGTCTAGCCTGGAAGTGTTGTCCCCTACTCCCTCACCTACTGAAGCTGGTGCTGCCTGACCCGCAGGTCCTCTCCCCCTCCCCCTCCGCCAGGGTGGTGATCATGAGCTCCATCCTGGAGCACATGTGTGCCGACGTGCTGCAGCAGACAGCCACGCAGATCAAGTTCCCGTCCACGGGCATGGACACCATGCCCTACTGGAACCTGCTGCCCCCAAAGCGACCCATAAAGGAGGTGCTGACGGACATATTTGCCAAGGTGCTGGAGAGGGGATGGGTGGACAGCCGCTCCATCCACATCTTTGACACCCTGCTCCACATGGGAGGTGTCTACTGGTTCTGCAACAACCTGATTAAGGTACTGGTGGTTGGTGGGGGCGGCCTGGAGGAGCAGGTGTCCCCAAACTATGGGAGACAGCTGAGAAAATGCCTGACAGGGCCAAGCTCCCTTCATTTGTACTTTGACTTCCCATCACCCAGCCCGGTCAGCCAGGCTTCCCTGAGAGGCCCCTCAAACGCTGAGTAGGTTCCTTGGAATCCAGAGCAGTCCTTGCCTCAGGAGCTCCTGGGCCCTAGGGGAGCTGTAGGATGTCAGAGCCCACATCGAGGGCCCTCAGCTCCTTGGTCCCCTCTCCCCTGCCCACCCAGGAGCTGCTGAAGGAGACGCGGAAGGAGCACACACTGCGGGCGGTGGAGCTGCTCTACTCCATCTTCTGTCTGGACATGCAGCAGGTGACCCTGGTCCTGCTGGGCCACATCCTGCCCGGCCTGCTCACCGACTCCTCCAAGTGGCACAGCCTCATGGACCCCCCTGGCACTGCTCTCGCCAAGTAGGATTCTCAAGTCCCCACAGCCCAGAGTCTGGCACCCCGTCGTGCCCCCCAGGGAGGCGGCGCTGTGGGGAAGCCCTGTCGGGTGGGGTACGGTCAGCATGGGTGCAGAAACCGTCTTGGGGGCCCCTCTGATTTTACCCCCTTTTCCTGGACCCCTTTGCCAGGCTGGCCGTCTGGTGTGCCCTGAGTTCCTACTCCTCCCACAAGGGGCAGGCATCCTCCCGCCAAAAGAAGAGACACCGCGAAGACATTGAGGTAGGATAGGGGCCCCTCCCCTGTTCACTTGCCCATGTGCTTTTTCCACAGACGTTTATTGAGCCTTTTCTGGTAAGAGGCGCCTTCCCAGGCCCAGGTAGCCAGGCACGGACCCTGCCCCGGTCCGCTGTGTTAGGGGTGACTGTGTGGAAGTTCTCTCCCTCGGGTAGTGGGAGGGGTGAGGGGAAAGATGACGCTGTTCCCTACTCTGATCTGATCTCTGGCCCTCTTCCCCATAATGGGAGATCTGGGGATCCAGGGGTGGATGACAGTGACTCCTGCCCTCCAGGATTACATCAGCCTCTTCCCCTTGGATGACATGCAGCCCTCCAAGCTGATGCGACTGCTGAGCTCCAATGAGGAAGATGCAAATATCCTCTCAAGTCCCAGTGAGTGTGTGGACATGGGCTGGGTGGGCTGCCTCCTTTCTCGGGAACTCGCTCCTGCCTGAGAGCTGCCCTGCTCTGGTCCCCGGGCATCTCGCTGGCTGGTCAGAGACAGTGTGGCAGGACTGTGCCCCATTCTGTCCCCTGTGGCTGCTCTGTTTCCTACCCCAAGAGACTAGAGGTAGCTGTGGATCTCTCCTTAAGGGTTGAAGCTCTTCTGCTCAGATCCCAGCCCAGCCCCGGGCGCATGGTTGGTTGTCCCTTCCCCACCCCTCACTGCAGTGAGTTCACTGCCCTGGGCACGCTCTGTGCCTTTGACTCACCAGCTCTGACCTTCCTTCCCCCTAAACAGGCCTGGGCTGGGACTCGGGACTGCTCCCCACTCTTCCTGCCTAGAGAGCACCCCTCCCCCACCGACTTCTCTCTCCCTGCCAAGGGCTCTTCTGTGGCATTTAATTTTTCCTATTTCCAGAGATTTCTCCTGAGCCTAGAAGTTTCTCTGAGGCCTTTTAGAGAGTAGGGGACCCACTGTGCACTTGAGCAGAGGAAAGACTCTGGGTCTGCCGCCTGCAGATCCTATGACTGTTGGCTAGTCACTTAATAAATCTTAGTCTCAGTTTCTCCATCTGTATAATGGAGGTGTGAGGACTAGCGGCTTAATCCACGTACAGCCAGCAGATTGACGCCTGTATATCTTATATCTGCTTGGGGGATGTCTGTTCTCGGGGGCCCTTGTGACTCTGGATCCAAGGACATTCTCCGGGCAAGCACTCCACCCCTGACGGGTGAGGGCTTCCTCTGGGACAGCGGTTTTGAATGCAGGAGGCCGTTTCCTCAGTGCTCCCTCGCTTGGCCCCACAGCCGACCGATCCATGAGCAGCTCCCTGTCGGCCTCCCAGCTCCACACGGTTAATATGAGAGACCCGCTGAACAGAGTTCTGGGTGAGTCCTCCAGCCCCGCTCCCACAGCTCATCCTGCCACCCCGCATCTGCCACATTCCCCCTCTTTCCTCCGTCTCCCCTAATTGCCAGCCCTCTGTCTCCCCCAGGCTCCCACCTCGTCCCTCTCTGGCTCGCCCCCAGCTTGCCTTTCATGCTGCCTCTTTTTTGACGTCCCCCTTTTGGGGGCCACTCTTAGCACCGATTTCTTCTCCCAGAGTCCGACCTCTTCCCAAATCTTTCTGATGGGATTCTTCCCCTTCTCCCCTGATGCCACACAGCCAACCTGTTCCTGCTCATCTCCTCCATCCTGGGGTCGCGGACCGCCGGTCCGCACACGCAGTTTGTGCAGTGGTTCATGGAGGAGTGCGTGGACTGCCTGGAGCAGGGCAGCCGGGGCAGCATCCTGCAGTTCATGCCCTTCACCACCGTGAGTCTTCACCTGCGGGCCGGGCTGCCCCACCCTCTAGATCCTGGGGGTCAGCAGCCAGGAGGGAGGGGCTCCTTCCTCTTGGACAGTGCACCCACTGTCGCCCCACTGAATAGCTGTCTGTCTGTCTGGCAGGTATCAGAACTGGTGAAGGTGTCAGCCATGTCCAGCCCCAAGGTGGTTCTGGCCATCACGGACCTCAGCCTGCCCCTGGGCCGCCAGGTGGCTGCCAAAGCCATTGCTGCCCTCTGAGGGGCTTGGAGTGGCCGCTGGCGCTGGCGGGGGAGGGTGCCAGCCCCAGGCATCTCAGAAGGGAACCGTGAGGAGAGATGAGACATCATTGCTCATAGCCACATGACGTAACAGCCCTCAGTCAGTCGGTTTCCAGATCTTCCCCTGCTCCTGACTTCTGACCTCTAAGACGTCTCCCAATCTCTTTCGTAATTTCCTTTCCCCACTGCCAGCACCTGGTTCCTTAGCTCAGGGCAGCCTCCCTGTGTTGCACCCCTCGCGCCGCTCCTCCCCTCCCGCGGATAGATTTACCTCTGAGAGAATGCCCAGGTGCGGGGGCTGTGTGTATATATGTATAGATGTGTTTTTTACATGATGGATGTTCACCTCGGCTCACTTGTAGATAAAGACCCTTGTGGATCCCTTCGTGACTGTAAGTGCGGTCAGGGCCCGCGTCTGGTGGGGTGGGGAACGCTGTTTTCTCCTTGGCATCCGTGCGCCATGGCCCAGGAAGAGGCTCAGTCCTGTGGCTGTGGAGGAAGGAGGAGGAGGTGCAGAGGAGGGCCGGGCTCAGGTTCCCGTGTTTGTCTGCTCAGTAGGGGCAGGGCATGGCGATGGGAGCAGCTTCCCTTCCTCATTCCTGCCCGCCGTCTCCCCTCACCCCACTTACTCTGAAAAGGGAGAGGTTTTGGCTACGGGCCTCGCTGGTGCTGGGGTAGGGTGTCCTGTTCTGACGTTCCCTGGCCTGGCCAGGCCCCACCCGAAGTCTGCCTGGCCCCAGAGTTTGCTCTGTCCTCCCCAGAGGGGTGAGGGGGGTGAGGGCAGGAACTCTGTTTAACCTTTCCTCTCCTGCTCCACACGTCTCCAAGCTCCGGTTCCTTCAGGACCAACCTGCGAGGGAGGTGACTCCCTGAGCCATGAAGCTGGGGACTCCAGCCCCACTTAGCCAGACCCTGCTTCTCATGAGCCTGATGGGGAAGGAAGTGGGCGGGGCTCAGGAGCCGAGGATGGAGAGTCTTGAGAGGGGACTCGGTTGGCCCCAGGGCCTGGTGGAGGCACCCTGGAGCACATGTGCGTCTTCGGCTGAGGACACAGAGAGGTTTGTGCCGTGACACAGCCTCTCCTTCTCCCTAGGTGTGAGCTCAGGCCCCTTCAGCCGTGAGGCTGAGATGGCAGGAAAGCAGCAGGCTCCCTGCAGGTCAGAGGCAGAGCTTGATGAGGGAGAGACAGACGCACAGAGCCTGGAATTTGGGGTCTGACCCAAGCTGTCACCTTGAACTCAGCTCCCTAATCTGTAGAAGGCCCTTCATAATTCTGTATTTGTGGGCAGCTGAGAGCATGGATGGACTGAGGTGTGTGGAAGATGGTAAACTGACGAGCCCTGTGCAAATGTGAAGTACTCCCTTGTTTCAGACCAGCGTCTGTCTGTGTCTGGACTGCTGAGCCCCCCACCCCTCCTCCCAGCCCACTCCCTCCTCTCCCAGTACCTGCCCACTGCCTTCGTCCTCCCCACTAAGCTGTGGCTCCTGTGGGCAGGGACCACAGCTGCCTCGCTCACCACCGTGTCCCGGCACCTGCAGAGTGGGTGCCAGATGAAGACATGCCGGAGAAATGGGCGCCCCCCTGCCCACACCTCCTCCTCCCTTCCTCGAGCCTCACCCACCATTCAGCTCCCCACCCACAAGCCCTGGCCAGGCACTAGCTGGACTCAAGAAGGAGGAAGGACATTTACTGGAGACAAGCACTTTTATTACCATGAATTTTGGCTACAATGAGGTGGAACACTGGGGCTTCCCTCTCAAGCCCGTCACATCTTCTCCCTCCCACGGTCCCAGTCCCCACGCTGCAGGGCAGAGAAGGACCATCCACTGGCCCTAAAGGTCAGAACCCTGACCCAATGAGTGGGGCTGGTAGTGCTTCCAGAAAAACAAGAGATGTTGGTGATGTCTGGACTCCCCATGTGAGGAGTCGAAACATGCCCCTCAAAAATCTTAAAACTTTGAGGGCCGCCAGGGTCAGGCATCCTGCTCCAGCTGCCTCTGCAAGTGAAGGGGACGCGAGGGGGAGCAGCACAGGCTGGGGAGTAAGAGGTGCGAGGGGAGTAAGAGGTGCGAGGACCCAGTTGGGGAACACGGCTGTTTAAATATTAAACAGGGCTGTCTTGTCTCCCATGTGGGAGATTTCCTGATGCTTCCAAGGGCCCCGAGGTGGGCACCCTCAGGGTAGAGGTTCACTGCCCTTCCAGTGCCCACCTCGGGGCCAGGCAGGGAGCAGTCGCAGGAATTAATACTTGGTATTTACCAACTACCTCCCAGTCCAGGGGACGGGAAGATAGGAGTTTTTCTCCCTGCTACAGGCGGGAGAATGAAACTTGGAGGTGGAGGGAAGGACCCAGGAGTCTGGGGCTCCTTTTTGTTCTTCCCCGTCTTTAAATATTAAGTTTAAATAAGCATAAATATTAAATAGAGATAAATATGCTGGATGAGGGCAGGTTTTGCTCAGGGCTCGGCCAGGTAGCGCAGGACACGGTAGGCCAGTTCCAGGAAGCGCTGCAGTTTGGCTGCCACCAGGACCCCTCCTGCCCGGCGCTGGAAGGCCGAGGTGAAGGTCAGCGTGGTGCCTGGGGTGGGCGGTGAGGCAGGGGCCATCCCCAGGTCTTCCATCTGTGGGGGAAGATGAGGTCAGCAATCAGGCCCTGCTGAGTGGGTGTTGCTGCAGTGAGGAAACTCTAAGGGCTGATGGGCTGTGGAAGATAACGCATTAATGGTGGGCCCGGACCAGAACTGAGGTCTGTTTCAAGGTCCAGTGATCCACTCACGCCCTCAAATAGGGGTTGCGGAGCAGGGTCCTGGGTTGGGGTGGCAGCTCCCTCCATCTGGCGTTCCCCCAGAATGCTCCTGCCCGGGTTCTAAAGAACTCTGGAATCCCCAGGCTTGTAGCACAACCTTTGGGGACCAGCTCAGTCCAGGCCCCTAATGTCTCCCAGAGACTCACCTGCAGCCAGATGTTGGTGGCAAAGTCGGTGACGTCCAGCTGCAGCGTGTCCAAGGTTGGGGCTAACTCTGGGGAGATTCCTGCCAGGGCCTGCAGGAGGCCCTGGTAGAGGAAGAGGCCGCTGTGGAGTTGGATCAGGCAGCCTGTCTGGGAGGACAGAGTAGGAGAGTCAGGGGACGCTGCCCTGAGGGCCCCAGCTTGGAGTCTGGAGAACTGGGGAGCCTTCCAGATTATCCTTCCCTCCCCCTCCTCTCCCTTCTTCCCTGCAGACACTCACCAGCTGCAGGGCCTGGCTGGAGCAGCTGCTCAGGGAAGCCTGGGGGATGCCCAGAGAGTGCCCGAGCAGCACCAGCTCCTCAGGGTGGCACAGCTTGTGGGCGGCACACTGTGGGAGGGAAAGATGCCAAGTGAGGGGACTCGTTGGAGCCAGGCTGCTCCTCCTTCCCCAGTGCCCCCATCTCCCTGAGGTCTTCCCCTCCCCCCACATCCTGCCAAGCTTCTCAGCCCCTATCCGCAGTCCACTCCTCCGCCAACGTCTCCCAGCAGTGCCCCCAAGAGGCTCTCCCCCGTTCCTTGCCAGCCGCCCAGGGCTCTACCTCTCCTCATTTTCTTCCATTTGCGCTGTGTCTCTCCTCTCCCGTGTCCCTTCCTGATGCTGTTCCCACGGTTCTCTTTGCCTCCCTCTCTCCCTGCAGCGCTCCCCTGTGCGCCTGCTTCTTCCTGCAGCATCTCCCATCTGTCCACTCGCCTCTCACTCACCAGCCTCTCCTGTAGCTCAAGGCTATCAGCCTGGATTTTCCTCACTTGCTCTAAGCCCTTGAGCAGGAAGCTCTGGGGCAGGGAGCTGGCAGGGCCGAGGAGGGCGGCTTCTTGCATGGTCCAGAGTGCGCTGTGCCAGAGCAGCAGCTGCAGGGCTGGGAGCAGACAGGGACTCAGGAGACATGCTGTACCTGCCCCTGGGTCCCTTCCTGGGAGCCTGGGGACCCCCCAGCCCTCTGCCCTCCCACCTCCCTCTTGCACGCAGCACCAGCAGATCCTCCCGCTCCTGGGGCCCAGACACTCACCCATCAGCTTCATGGGGCTCTGGGCAGAAGGCTCAGACTAGGGTCTGGGTGGGCCTGTAGGCTCTGGGCTCTGTCAGGGACGAACTCCAGGGGCCTTTATACATAAGCCCATGGAGGCCTGGGAGGAAATTACCTGGTGCTGCGTCTAAGGCTTAGTAATAACTTCCCAGGATTTATGCAAATTTGGTGTCCAGGACAATGCCGGGGGGTGGTGGGGGTGGGACAAAAAAACTGTTTGCGAAAGTTTTGTGAAATTGTGGAATCTCTGATTCTTCTTTGACGTCTTGTCCCCTTCAAGATCCCTTCCTCCCCTCAGCCCCACCCAGGCCTGAATTACCCCAGGGTGTTTGAACTGAACCGCTGAACAAAGGCTGGGCCACTGATAACAGCCATGGAGGCCAAGGTCTGGTCAGACACTAGGGAAGAGGCAGGCCTCAGGCCCTCCCTCCCTCCCCTGGCACTTCTCCTGGGACAGCTGGCTTTGCCACTTTCCCTGGGGATTCTCAAGCCACCTGCTCTCTAGGCATCCAGTTCTGAGAGGGAAGAAGCTATCTGCCCCCATTCTGATCCCCCAAAATTCCCAGGAGGCTGCCTCCCTGAGTGCCCTCCTGAGAGGCCAGGGGCCTGAGAGAGGACATTGGGGTCTTGCCCACACTTTGACAGGCATCATCCCAGGTTCCTGTTCTGTACTGGTTAGCTGGGAACTCCCCAAACCCCACCATGACTCATTCCTTTAAGCCCCCAGAATCCTGGCAGAGCCCAGAGGAAACCGGATGTCTGTCCTGAATGAAGCAAGACCCTTCTAGGCTCTTGGTTCACCTGACCTTGTGCTTCCTCCTCCTCCCGCACCACTTTCCCTCCCCCACAACAGTGCCCCAGGACTTCGGGGTTGAGGGCCTGGGACACATGGCTTCCCTGGCCAGGTTCACTGCCAGCGGCAGTGTGTGTGCTGCCCTGAGTGGGAAGGGCTAGGGTGAGAAAGAAGAAACTGCCTGGCTTCAAACCCGAGAGCCACACACTGTGCGCTCTGGAAGGGACTTGGGAGTCTGTTCCAACCCTGTGAGCTGGGCCAGTGAGGGAGGAGCCTTGCCCAAGGTCATGGGTAGCAGAGTCAGTGTTACAACCTGGGCTGCTGCTTCAGGCCTGAGTCTTCCGCAGGCCGTGGGGCCTGCCCGAGGAAGTGTGACCAAGGGCATCCAAAGCGGTCACTTTCTGTCCTGATTAACCCAACAATATGCCTTATCAGAAGACATCTTTGGAGGAGGAGTGGGTGTGTCTGACTGAGCCAGGCCATCTCTGGGGCAGGGGTGCCCCCTGGTGGCCACAACTGGCAGGGACGTCACCTGCTGATCTGTTCACATGTTGCTT